TAATAATAATTTTTTTAAAGGCTGAGCACCTGACTCTTATCATCACCTACACTAAGGTCCAAATTCTTTCATAGTGACAATAGGCAGGAAGCTGGCTTTGTGTGCATTATTTCATTGATGGAAAAAAGTTACAAATGTTTTAACATGTCAATCATGTTAGAACAAGTAAGCTTTTCTGTGCTGAGTGCCAGTAACATTCTGCTAGGGAAATTTCTTGAGATTTCTCACAGCTTTCCCATTGCCGAAAACATCATTTGTATAAAGGATTGGAATTTTATGCTACTGCGTAAGTATGTGAAATTCTGGCACTGGGACATGCCACCAGCACAGTACCACAAAGCATGCAGTTACAATTGTTTCAACACACATACGCTTAACAGCTGCTGTATTGTAGTTGACAGAGATTCCATTTAGCAGGCAAAAGTTTTTTTAAAAAATTGTCCAGAGTGAAAAGACTGGTTATGTCACTCTAGTTAGTGCAACTGTGAGAATTTAGACCTTTGGTTCCAAAGGTAGCTGGAATATAAATATTTATGTTCTACTTGTCTAACGTGTGAACTGCCAGGTTCAAAGATGGCTTACAATGCTATGACCAACAACACACAAACAACCACCAAGGGTTAAAAGACAGATGAAATATTAGTAAGCCTAAAGGCATGGATTCAGACAAATCCTAAATTCCTATTTATGTAAGGTCTGGGTTGATGCAAAATGACCAGATTTGATTCTGGAGTGGAGTAAAGCAAATTTACAAATCAATCGTAAACTGAATCAGGTGGGGGCACATATTGCTTCAGACTTTTTTTTTTTTTAAAGCAAACTTCCAAGATTTCTCATGTACAAACTTCTAAAGCCAGCCATCTCCCCCTCTTTGGAATCTAGAATGTCTAAATTTCATGTCCATCAATGGAAGAGAAAGCTATAACCATTTTGATTTTCCAGTGCAAGTCAAGGGAAACTTTAAAAACCAACTCAGATCTAAGCCATAAACCTAATCTGATGGAGCACAAATCACTTTGGACCAAATCAAGACACATTCAAGAACCCCGAATTGGCCCCTGTGATTTGTGCACAGCCCTAGTTGAAACTAAGAAAGTCCACCTGATAGTACTGAACCACTACTAAAATATAATTAGGAACCAAGATCTACACATGTCAGTTTCTTGAGCTCAGCTGTTCAGTTTCATTGCTGACATTTGCAGTCATAAGGCAAAAGGCTGGAGCAGACAGAGTGGCGGAACAAACCACAGATGATTTGTTTTTCTTTGTTTGTTTGATCTCCACCCTGCCTTTCTCTCTACAGAGAGACTCAATGGTGGGAATCCTGCTTGTACAGCTCCATGCACATAAGGTGGATGATGTCATTAGCATGAGCTTTTATCTTTAACTAAAAGTATCCTGTCCCCGTCCCCCTCAATCGGGTTCTGAGGCTCCCTAGGTATCCCTTTTGACCTGGGGAAGCCTTTGGTGGCAGCAATTTTTGGATATGAATGGCTTCTCCCCTTGTCCTAAGGCCCCCAAGGACTTCCTCAGATCAAAAGAGATCTCTAGAACCTGGCCAAGAGGCAGGGGACAGCTTTTTACAAAAGATAAAACACTGCAAATGATTATGTCATCAGCCTTAGATGAGTGGAGCTGGTCCACCAGGATTCCGGCCAATGCTCCCTGTCTCACTCAGTCTAATATACTTCACAGGGCTGTTGCCAAAAGAAAAGTATGATAACCTCATATACCCTGTCTTGAGCTGCCTGGAGGCCAGGATGCTGATGGGCAAAGCAACTGCCAGTGTGTCCTGGAGGACTCCTTCCTTTCCGCTATTACTTCTGCAGAGAACATGGGCTCATTCAGTGCTTACTCTTGTCCTGAACATCAAACAAACCACTGACATTTCTTTTACCAACTACCTCTTCTCCAACATTGTTTATACCCACTTAGAAAGGATACTTGTGGTCAAAGCTGTACCACAACCTGAAGATCCAAACACTTTCCAGCTTTGTCCGGTTCCTTCGTTCAACATCTGGACCATCCTGTAGACAATAACCTATTTTTGTTATACACTCTTACAATAGTTTAGAAAAACACTGGTAAACATAAGGAACTGCCCCCCTAGCATGGCAGTTCTTGAGTTTTGCTCTGTGACGATTACCACATCAAGCCATTGTGGAATCTGAGTTCAAGCAGGTCCAAACTAAGGACATTTCAGGTGGTTGTCCTCCATTTCATCTGGCAACCATGGAACAGATCACACTAATGCCTCCCAGGAGAACATCCACGCTGTATAACCTTGGACAAGCTGCACAGTCCCCAGGGTGTTTCCAGAAGGAGGAAATGAAAAACCACTTCTGAGTAGTTTACATATAAAAAGGTAGGCTAGGAATAATATAAGTCAGAACTGACTTGATGGCACTCAATTATCAATTACTCTTCTCCCTTTAATAATGCTGGGGGACTAGGGGCACCAGACCCTCGTGTAGTTCAAAATATAGGTACAACTCTTATGTCCCCCCAAACCTTATAACAATAAACAACAGATTATCACACACATACACAAACACAAAGAGAGAGAGAACGAACAGATGGGTTTACTGTATGTACTGGATGATGATAATACTATACTGTATTTATCAATCCACACTTACAAAAGTCTTCATCCTCATTGTCATCATCTTGAGTAGGTTGTGGGGGAGAGGTAGAGTAACTTTATGGAACTACATCATAATTTCAGTCTGAATTTTTTTGCTTTTTCATTTCTCTAAAAATGTTTCTATATAGTAACAATTCTTCTTCCACAATTTGTTTTAGTTTCAGTGCCCGTATAATAGAAGGGTCTGTTTCGTAAGCAACAAAAGCAGTTTCGAATAACTGGAACCCTTCTGCAAGATTGTCTAATGTCAATTTGTTTCCTGGCACTGCTTGTTCTACCACAGGATTGGTGTACCCATATGGGGGATCAGTTACAAGCTCCTCTCGCAGATGCCAGAAACAGTGGTTAAGAGAGGCACTGACTTCCACTTTTCTTTGCTTGCTTGCCTGCTTGATTGACTTTGGGAAAAAAAAATCTGTATATAACCAAAACCATGCCGTTCAAGGGAGACGTGTATTATTAAATTGCCAATAGGCTTCTGGCCAGCAAGTTTCAGCCTCATCCTATAGCTTCTTTTGCTCCCCCATGATAAAGCCAAATATGAGAACTCAGTCCTGACTGCTAACATCCTAATGTTTAGTTACGTACCATCAAATCAGAACTGACATAATGACTCTAATAGGGCTTTCAAGATAAGTGAGATATTGAAAAATTGGTTTTACCAATCCCACCCACTTCCAGTGAGTTTCCATGGCTGACCAAGGATTCAAACTCTGGTCTCCTGAATCCTAGCCAATCACTCTATCCAGTACCCCACACTGACAACCTAATATACAGCTATAAAAGATTCAGAATAGCATTTTTAAGATCTTAGAAATACAGGCATATTAGAAGGTAAAATAGCACGCTATCATTCACATGAGGGGAAGGAGCAAGATAAGGTAAAATATTTTAATCTTTGTGATCTTTTAAAATTCTTTCCCTAAGTACTTTGCACTGAAAATATCAGCAAATACAGCATCCATGCTTTTGCAGGTCACTCACTAGTCGGATCCTTCTTGCATTTGTTCTATTCATTTTACAATCAAGAACTTAGTTCTAACGAACTTAGGCTTCCAAAAATTGATTTCCCTATGATATCAACTTTGCTTTTTGTGTGATCAACAGAGACAAATAAGAGAGGCCATGGATGTTTGGTTCCTGTTTGAAATCAGAACATTTGGGTATTACTCAGAAGTCAGCTTGCATAAGTAGCACCTCAATACCATTGACCTGCTGAGCAAATTAATTACTCACCCCTTGTAAGACTTGGAAGCTGTCATTCGTGGGTGGCGGGTCTTGATCTGGATCAACTCCAACTCTATATGAACAAAGCAGAAGAGAACAATACCACACATTGGAGTTTCACTGAATTCAAAATGCCCTTTGCACTGGACATGATTTCACTGTAAAGGAAGCGAAACTGTAGGAAGACATTGTGGATATTTGTTGACAATGTAAAAACATCAGAAAGTACCTTGTAAGGCACAATGATAACATAAAATGAAATAAACAAATAATATATCCGCCACTGTCTCGCCTGCTTGAAGCAGGCTCCCATTCCAAGTCTCTTTTAAGTTAAACCCATATGCAAGATCTTAAAATCTTAAAGAAACTTCATAAAGCTGCAGTGAAGAAAAAGAGAGAAAACACTGTTTTGCTGAATCCAGTACCTTAGAATGAGCTGTTTGAAGCACAAAAAATGATTGTCTACCTGAGTAAAGTACTATGACTAGCATAGTTTTATTCTGTTGCTAGGGAGACAATGGGACCCTGGTACAATTTGTTAAAAATAAGGGCTTCATCAGGTTCAAAATCAGCCCTGAACCTAAGAATCAATGCTCTTGAACTGTAGATACTGGATCAGTTTGGCACTAAACAATTTTCCGATGGACGGAGATACAGAACAGGAGCAGAGGGCAGAGATCAAGCTGCACAGAGAGCCAGCGGGAAGTCGATTCAGAGTAGGATAATCTGTGGCTAAGTTGCTTTTCAAGGCAGTATGTATTTTAAGCACAAAGAGAAAGAGCTTCTTGCAGCAGGAAAGTCCAAGAGACCTCAGCCAATAAACTCACCACAACGCACATGGCCTTCCAACCCACTGCTGGGCATATATGGCCAGTACCACCACCACCACCACCCATCAGTTAAGTGTTGATGCAGCAACACCAAACCTGTGTGACAGACACTATCCCTAACTGCTTCAGCTGAAGGATCTCAGGTGGCAGGAATGAAAAAGAAGAGCTTGCTTCTGCTGTGACTGAGGATTGTGGGGGGGAAAGATTCAAGTACTGGATATTCTGTCTGGAGAACCTAAGAGCAGAAGCAGGAAACCTTTCTGCCCCTTGGGCTGCATTTGATGCTGTTTCAGGGCTTGGAACCTGTGAGCATATACAGACATGAAGCTTTCCCATGCTGTGCAAAGGACAAATTCTGTGAGGACATCTGGGGGATGGGGCGTATAGAAAGGTCCCTATTCACCTTTCCCCAGAGATATTCATAGAGATTGCTCTCTCTCCTCCCTGGAAATGGTGAACTGATCAAGGCTCTCCGAGGGGTGGAATGGAAGGAGTCTCCCCTCAGAGAATCCCACAGACTGCGCTGTCCTTACTTCCAGCAGAAGCACGGAAAGAACCAGCAGATGAAATCAGATCAGTAGGAACTGACCAAGAGGCAGAGTCGAATCTCAGGGGCATGCAGGTTCTGCACCCTGCCACAGAGTACTCAAGGAAAGGAGGGAGGAGACAGTAATCCACTGTGGTGCACTCCTTACACTAAAGTTTATCCACATTTATTTATTTATTTTATTTGTACCCCGCCTATCTGGTCATTGAGACCACTCTAGGCGGCTAATTTATTCTAGTTTATCTTTTAAATAAACTGCTTGCATCCCTTTCAGAGACCAAACCTCCCCTTTCAATTTATATACGGCTCTAAAACACTTCTATTTCCACATCCCATAATTCTTTTGTCCAAGGGCAGAAACGGACATTAAAGGTAGCCCAGTCCTCAAGGGCTGATGGTCAGTGAATGTCAGAGCTGGAGCTTGTTTCACTTCTTCTACAGAAGACCTTCTCAATTGTCTTTCCAATGCTAACGTGCTTTCAGCACTCATAAGGACCTTCTATAAAGACTGGATAGACCTCACTGGGGGAAAAAAAGATTACAATCCTGTTACTCTTCATGCTATGGCCCCAAAACATCTCAGGTACTCTGTGCTGGAATTTTTTAAACTGTATGTACAAGTATATAGTGATTACATGCTTAGCGAGAGGATCATCTGGCCCTATGTGGTGTGTGAGACTCCATGTTACAACAGCTTTAAAAGACACTCATCAATCTCTGGGCACAATTCAGAAGTACAATAAGTGAGCTACAAAATCTAATGCAACTTCAAAGTATGTAAACTTGCAAAGGTTTAAATCTTCCCAAGAGGCTTTTATAACGGATGTCTACCAGAAAGTCAAGAAAAGGTCTTCTCTAGATGGCTTATCCCAAACTCTGGAACTTCTACCCTTCCCCACTCATTTTTTTAATGACTTTTCTACTGACAGGCAAAGATGCTTTTCTTCAAACAAACAACTCCTTGGCTTCATTACCTGAGTTGATATGGCCACTGTGAATGTGCAACTTGTTCATCTGACTATTTGTTAATTCAGCATTATACTTCATTTTGTATTTTACTGCTCGTAACCTTGAATGCCATTTGGTGGAAACTCAGAATGCAAATTTTAATAATAACAACTACTTCCCGTTTAGCTGCTTTTTGTATAAGAGAAGGCTACTAAGTATCCTAACGAGACCTTCAATGCTCCTGTGATTACACAAGCTCATTTCCCTGAAAAATGACTGCTTGCAATGATTAACAGCAGTATCACACATGCAAAAGAACAAGTATCTACTGTTTAAGAACAAAACTTGCAAGAGCTTTCTGTGCTCCATAAAAACATGGTCTGCATCCTCATGTTCTGTTCCAATACCTGACATGATTTTGAGTCAAAACAATAGCTGTAGCTCAGTATACTAGCCATACCACTAGTACACTGCCAACCTCTTAATGCAAAATAAAGACATTTCTTATTGCCTGGATGTCCCAGAACAGAATAATCAATAATAAACTAAAGTGGCACTCTTATACACATTTGTTACTGTTGTTATATGTAATGCACTTTAAAACTTGCCCAACACATTTTAGCCCAAACAATTTGTAGTCTTCTTTGGGGCAATAATCTGCAATGTGTAATAATATTTCACTAAACTCCTGTTATGTGCCATCAAGTTGGTTCTGACTTACAATGATTTTTATGTATTAGTGACCTCCAAAGGAGAACAAACCTATCCATTGTAAAGGAAATCAACCCTGAGTGCCCCCTGGAAGGACAGATCCTGAAGCTGAGGCTCCAATACTTTGGCCATCTGATGAGAAGAGAAGACTCCCTGGAAAAGACCCTGATGTTGGGAAAGTGTGAAGGCAGGAGGAGAAGGGGACGACGGAGGATGAGATGGTTGGACAGTGTCATCGAAGCTACCAACATGAATTTGACCCAACTCCGAGAGGCAGTGGAAGACAGGAGGGCCTGGCGTGCTCTGGTCCATGGGGTCACGAAGAGTCGGACATGACTTAACGGCTAAACAACAACAAGACTTCCAAAACATCCTCTCATTAATATGTTGCTCACATACTAAAAATGTCTTTCATTGAATCAATCCATCTCATCTTGGGTCAACTTCCTTTCCTGTTGCCTTCAACGTTTCTCAGCATTCCTGCCTTTTCTAGTTAGATTTCCCTTCTCATTATATGTCCTTAGTACAATAGCTTTAGTTTACTCCTTTTGGCTTCTAAAGAGAATTCAGGCTATATTTGACACTCCTTCCAACTTCTAGATAGCATACTGTGGAGAATGGCAACTGTCTCCTTCCAACCCACAGGAAGCCAGATTTGCAGAACCATCAGAAATGCTGTAAAGCCATCTGCAGTGTTAAGAAAAAGACATGCAGCAGCAGAAGGAAAGTGCACACATTTTTGGTTAGAAAGATGAAGAAAGCCAAGCATCAGGTAAAGCTGGTTACCAATGTTACTATTTTGTCACCTGAAGTACAGCCAGCGGCTTTCATTCATCTCTTCCACCGATGGAATATGTTCGCCAACTCTATTACAGGCATAAGAATGGAATTCATTTATTTATAATTTTTTAACCTACTTCCCTTCCCCCCCCAAAAAAGTTACCGAGTTTGCATTGCACATATATAAAAACACAATCAAAATTAGCTTGTTCTTTTTTTTAAAAAAAGGGTCAACACTATACAATTTTTAAAATAAATAGTTGACAAGGTGAAAGTCTCACTCAGTTAAAGGAGGACAGGTGAAAAGAACAAATATTTTCCATCAAAGGTTAAAAAATACATTAAAAACCCAAGCAAACTATCCTGAGGAAAGTCCTTCCATAACTAGGGTGTAACTACTGTAGCTCCCATAAAATGCATGGATTGACGGTTAGGCATCCCTCAGTCTCGAAAGACTATGGTAACGTGCTCTGTATGGAGGACTTGGAACAGCATGGATTACCGCATGCTGAATGTACAAAATGCAGACGCTTCACAACTATCAGCCTCTGTTACTATTACGTGAACCACCTCTATATAGAAACCTTTACATTAAAACACAACAAAAGTACAGTACAATAAAATTCAGCCAACTGTTGGCTCCCAAGAGTGCAAGAACATAATCATTTCTTCTTAATGAACAGAAAATTTGAGTGGGTACTTAGTTTCCATCCTTTCTTAGCATCACCAGCAAAACTCACTTGAGTCAGCTATTTTGGGCACAAGAGTGCAGCCAGTGGTTTTGGTTTCCTGACTCAATCTTTTTTGGTTTCCTGACTCAATCTTTTTTTCCCCTTTGAACACTGTTGAATCTGCATAAGCTTCAGAGGAAGATCTGACTCTAAGCATATATTGAGCATCTATAACTGCACACTTTTTCCCCACAACTGACATTCATTCATTCATTAAAGGAACAGCTCATTTTAAGCATCTGCAAATGAAGACTGACAAAAGAAATCTATACAGAAAGGGTAGTTAGCTGGGCATGATAGGATAGCTCAGCCCAAGAATACTACACATTATAGTTCAAGTAAGAACTGGGATTGTTATGCAGGTATCATGTTTCTCCCAGTATTTGTGTTAAAATGGCCTTGGTCACAAGCCCTATACTTGTGTCCATCTGAAAGCACAAATAGGGCTGTATCTGTGGTGAGGATTTTCAGGAGCTCGGCCCTCAACACTCCCTCCCATCCGTAAGTCAGTCAGACATTTACAGATGGGGTACAAAGACCAACTCAGCCCAAGAATACTACACATTAAAGTTCAAGTAAGAACTGGGATTGTTATGCGGGTATCATGTTTCTCCCAGTATTTGCGTTAAAATGGCCTAGGTCACAAGCCCTATACTTGTGTCCATCTGAAAGCACAAATAGGGCTGTATCTGTGGTGAGGATTTTCAGGAGCTCGGCCCTCAACACTCCCTCCCATCCGTAAGTCAGTCAGACATTTACAGATGGGGTACAAAGACCAGAAAAGGAGACAGTGAGTGTGTCCGAGTGAATGCAGTTAGTGCTCTTGTGATTAGGAAGCCTGAAAAGGCAGGGCTCCTGATCAATGCACAGACATCTGAGATCCAACTGATGCAGACATGGGGGGGGGCGTAGTTTATGAGCTCACCCATGTTCCCCACCAACAAACTCAAGTCTTATTCACATGTTCAGGTAAACAGCTGATTTGGGTTCCAAGGGAAGTCCTGTGTTGTGCAGATGAACTCAGAAATGAGCGCTGGTATGAACTTTTAAATAAGTGTCCATAAGTGTTTGGAACACTGCATCTTCCATAAGACAAGCTACAGATTCCTCCACATCATGCCCCCACATGCATTGGCTCTTGCTAGGAACACTCTGAAACCCCCCCCACACACACACACACACACACTGCATTTTAAATTCAAGGCTAGAATGTCATAAGCGATTACCTTCTAAATGTAAGTGCACTGATGGGTAAGGCTGAAGTCGCAAAACCAGTTCCCAGGAGTCAACCGGTATCTAGTAAGCCTGACATTCAGCAGCCTTCCTCTCCAGCTTGTCTCCAGCTATCTTAAAATTTCCATCATTCCTATCCTGTCTATAGCTGACAGGAACGGAAAGTGTGCCAGACTGGGGAAAACTAAAGTAGAGAGATATTAAGTGTTCTCACTTTGATACAGTGGTGCCCTGCTGCACGATTACCTCGCAGAACGACGAAACGGCAGGACAGTGACTTTTTTGCGATCGCTATAGTGACTGCAGAACAATGTTTCCAATGGGGCTTTTTCCCTGGACATGGAAGAGGTCCGTGCTTCGCGACATTGCAAAATGACTTCCCGCTGTTTTCCGACCCATGCTTCGGAAGACAGCCAATAAAAACAACTGATTGGCTCTCAGAAAATGGCTTCCCTATGGAGGATCTTCGCTGGACGATGAGGTAATTTCCCCATTGGAACGCATTAACTGGTTTTCAATGCATTCCAATGGGGATTTTTTTTCGCGTGACAATTTCGCTGTACAGCGATTTCAGTGGAACGAATTATCGTCGTCATGTGAGGCACCACTGTACTGGTTTAGCAACAGCATCTCAAAAAGTATCAAAGTTGCACGTGACTGCCACCTTCTGGATTAAGGGTTTCATCTCATGTAGTTTGTATACTTTTTTCGCTGCAGCTATTTTAACATTTGGGGTTAGCAGAGAAATAGTCAAACCTAATCAGAAGGAAGAATTATTACAGTAGATAATATTCTTAGTATTTGGGTGCCTGTTCCATACTGAAGCACACTTCCTTGTCTGTGGCACAGACCACATGCCAATGGCAGAATAGAGATAGGATTAACTTTTTAAGTCCAAAAGTCTGGTAGATAAATACCTTATATTTAGCCAGGACAGCATGGGGGTTGTGCCGCCACCAATGATCCAAACAGTGAAGAAGACAATAAGGAGTGTTGTGGAGAACATCATCTGGTGAGCATAAGTTGCAGTGTCTCGTATGGCTAGAGCAAATGCCATGGCTCCTCTAAGCCCTGCGGATCACAACAGAGAAGAATATAAACTTTACTGTTAGGGATGGTGCAAACTTTGATACTGATCTATCTATCCACACTTCCTAAATAAATCTGGGAAGTGAAACATGGAAAAACCCTGCAGTATTCACACTTCTCCAAATTTTGCAACAGTTTTCTGATCAAAAATGTGAACAAAAAAGTGTAGGTTGAACAGAAATCACACACACACAAAGTGATATAAATGTCCTTGTAGACTGAAAAAAACCTGCACCCTTACATATAAACAGGATTGTAACAAGAGATTCATGCCTTCTTACAGTAGACGTTTTGTACAACATTCAGTATGGAATTAAAAGTGTTTAAGATGTGCCCATCCAAGACGTACATCTTCAGTTCCAACTTTTGAAGCGAGGAGATATAAAAACATAAACACGGGCAAAGAATTATGCAGCTAAGACAATCGTCATGAGCCGTTGGATAGGGAAGCGCTGAAGCCTCTTGACTGCTGGAAGAGCTATCTAAGGCTTCCTCTACTATGTTGCTGGTTTGCTTTTTAAATTTGTTTCAGGTACTGTACTTCTTATGCAGCTCCAGGTGCTTTGTCATGATCAGTGTATGGGGGTGAGGAGTATATGAAGGAAGTTGCTCCTTTAGAACAAAACCATTTTTTCCTGTTATTCAACATGCACCTTGAACTGTCATTCCACTCACACTGACCAGAACTTTGTATCATGCAAGGCAGCTCAGAAAATTTAACTTTTTGTTTTACCTGAAAACATCATCATGTGCTGAAAATTCCAGCTGATCTTGTGTCTTCTCCCCAAATTCAAGAAGAAAGACAGTGGATAGATGTGTGCTGCGCGTCCCAGGAATACTGCTATCTGACCACACCTCTTGGTTAAGGATGTGAAGTAATATCTAGGTCATTCTATGATCATGTGGTTTCATTAAGCCTACAATTCATATCTTATTTATGATGTCCCTATGGTTCTGCCATCTGGCCAGAGATCAGAATTAAATTCTCTCCATTGTACCTCCCTGACTGGGGCTGGACTTGATGATCTATAGAGTCCCTTCCATCTCTGCAGTTCTAAGATGACGTTGATGCATTTATTTATGCTATTTCTATGCTGTTTTTCTCCCGAAGACAGTTCACTAACAATTGAAACCACACAATGATAACAATTAAAAATACAGTGGCGCCTCACTAGACAGTTACCCCGCATGACAGTTTTTTCGCTAGACAATGACTTTTTGCGATCACTATAACGATTCGCAAAACAGTGATTCCTATGGGGGATGTTTGCTGGACAATGTTTGGTCCCTGCTTCACAAACCGATTTTTGCTAGACATTGATTTAGACAGCTCCCTCCACACTCGCAAAACGGGTGTTTTTGGGATCTAAGCTTCGCAACTATTTAAACAGCTGATCAGCGGTTCGCAAAGCGGCTTTCCTATGGCCGATCTTCGCTAGACAACAACGATTCTTCCCCATTAGAATGCATTAAACAGGTTTCAATGCATTCCAATGGGGAAGTGCTTTTCGCTAGACAATGATTTCAGTGGAACGGATTATCATCGTCTAGTGAGGCACCACTGTACTGTAAGAGATATATTTTAAAAACAACCATTAACATTAAAAACAACATTAAAAAGCATTTTAAAACATTTTACAGAAACCATTCAAAATCTTTAAATTCAGTGTCTACAGCATTCCTGCCCAACTTCCACTTACTGCTGAAAATCCTGCCTGAAAAGGAAGTAAGGAAGTTCTTTGCCTGACAACAGAACGACAGCATGGATGGAGCCTCTCGGCTTAGCTTCATAAGGCAGCACATTCCGAGGCCCGGAAACAGGAGCTGAAAAGGAGCCCCCCTCTCATGTCTGGGAAGGTGGTGCAATTGAGAGGAAGGCCTCCTCAGAAGAACTTTATATGCTCCCTGTAAAAAAGCGCCAATCAGCTGTCCGGCTGCAGCATTCTGAGCTAGCTAATGTTTCCAAACACTCTTGAAAGGCAGCCCCATATAGAGCACACTGTAGTAATCAAAATGGGATTTAACTAAAGCATGGGTCAACCATAGCCAGACTGGACATCTCAAGGGATGGGTACAGCTGGTGCACCAGCTTTAACTATGGAAATGCACTCCTGGCCACTGCTGAAACCTATGCATCCAAGCTCAAGGTTGAATCCAGGAACATACCCAAGCAGAAAACCTATTCCATGATCAGCCTTTTGACTGAGCAGGAGCATCTCTGTCTTATCTGGATTAAGCTTCAGTTTGTTTGCCCTCATCCAATCCATTACTGACAACAGACACTGGTTTAGGTAACAGAACACCTTCCTTGAAATCCAATGAAAAAAAGAGATAGATATGGTTATCATCAGCATATTGATGCCATTCAACTCCAGAACTCGGGGCAACCTTTCCCAGCTGATTCATGCAGATGTTGAATCGCATGGGGACAGGTCTGAATCCTGGTGGACAACACAAGCCACAGTGCTAACCAGGATTCACTTGTGCGAATGCTGACCATCTCATTTAGGTGAATGTTAACATTCACTGGAATCGCTCTAAATTTAAAACACTCAGAGACAAATATTATCAATGTTAATACAGTGGTGCCTCGCATAATGGCCACCACAACCATTTTCGCGTGATTTCCTCGCTTACCGAGGCAGCAAAAATGGCGGCGCTATGGAGGATCTTCGCATAACAGTGAGTTTTCGCCCCATAGGAACGCATTAAACAAAGTTTAACGCGTTTCTATGGGGTTTCCCCCCCCCCGCATTGCGATGTTTCGAGACAAATATTATCAATGTTAATATTCACCACATTTAAGCACCATACATGAAATGGTATTTTAAAAGAATTAAGAAAAGAACAGCAACACCTAAAAACGCCTAAGGGAGAGAAAGTTTCCCCTTGGTTGCTTCCGGAAGCAGCCACATTTAAGCACAATACATAAGATGGTATTTTAAAAGAATTAAGAAAAGAACAGCAACACCTAAAAATGCTTAAGGGAGAGAAAGTTTCCCCTTGGTTGCTTCCGGAAGCAGCTGTCCAGTATGCAGGGTATCAACTGGATAATATTAACATTGTTACAACCTGGAAAAATTCAGGTCTCTTATGAAAAATGTTAAGATTAAAAATGGATTACCAAACAAAACTCTTGTAATTTTATTGCTGGAGCTAACACAGAAGTCTCAGGTGTGTAATGAAAACATTAAAAGGTTTGATAGAAAGTATAAAGATAAGATTATAATTATCTCGGAGGGCAGAACCACATATTATGAGCAAGACACAGAGTTTGTATTTTCCTTACTGAGAACACATGGAGGCAGGGGAGAATTGACTAATGAAAGAGAGTGTGTTTAATCTTTCCTTCAGCTACTTATTTTCCTCTCCTTTTGCACTTAATTAATTCCATGAGGGTAGCCATGTTGGTCTGCTAAATCAGTGGTTCCCAACCTTGTTCTTGAACTGCTACTCCCAGAAACCTCAGGCAGCAGAGTTGGTGGTGAAGGCTTCTGGGAATTGCAGTCCAAGAACACTTGGCTTAACCAAGGTTGGGAGCCATTGTGGTAGAGGAATTACCACGAAGAATGATGTGACATCTTAAAGACTCAGCCAAAACTTTGGCTTAAGTTTTGGGGATTGCAGCCCACTTTATCAGAGGCATCGTGCTTATGCCAATGTACATCAAATAAAATTTGGTAGTCTTTAAGGTGGCACGAGACTCTGCCATATTTCACTGCCTTCTCTGCCCCAAACCTAGACACACACCAGATGTAGAGCAGGTATGAGTCTAGCTGAAGGAAAAAAGGATTCTCAGAACAGAATTTGTAGAAAGTACCTGTCAGGCTAAAGAGGTCAAGTACCTTTCCCTCCAGCTTTCTCCCTCACAACTTCTTAGGCACCTCTGGGAGAACTGGAGCCTCTCCTTTCCTCATTTCTACTCCCTTTCCCCATCTGCTTACAAAGCATCCTCCTCGTGGTTACAAGTTTCAGGACCGGATCATTTGAAGTGCAGACTTCAAAAGCTCTGTTGTGTAAACAGATCTCTAGTACACAATACTTTGGATCAAGGTCAGAGATAAGATTTTCCGCTAAGACCTAATCAATTATGTATTTAGGAGACAGTTTAAGAAACTCACTATCTGCCTTCATGTAACTAAAGCAATAAAGAAGAGTCAAGGCACTGAATTTTGTAAGGGAAATGGCAGCAAGATCTTTTGCTCAAAAAGAGAACAACGATACAGGGCGGTACTATATGGGTTGCAACCCCACACATACTTATCCGGGAATAGGTTTTACTGAATCCGAAGGGCTTACTTTTCACACATAGGACTATTTGATTACTACGGTTATTTTGGTTGATAAAAACTGAGTGAGGTACAGACAAAACGATGAGAGGACAGACCCACTGAACACTTTCTGGACAACTCTGAAGCACGTTAAGACATGTCTTGAGAGCTTAGGTGTGGGAAAGGATACAAAAGCTCCAATGATAAAAATAGGGCTGAATACATGCTTTTGGAAAGTAAACAGGGCTAAGCCCATGTAGGAAAAGATGAAGTTCTCAGCCAGGAAGTGCAGAACTTCAAAGAGCTGTAAAGAAAGTGAAAAAGATTTCAATTCAGTTCATACTTACTGAAAGGAGCCACATACTGCATTCAGAAGAGCCTGTTCAAAATAAATAGTCAAACGGAGTGGAAAGCTAGCGGGGAAAGGACTGTTTCGGCCAAAATCAGAAATGTGTTTTAAACCAACAATGTAATATTTTGTATTCTGATATTCAAAACTGCATTATTCTGGATCACCTGGTGCCGTTTCTTTCTTTTCACACTTGTATTAGATGTCTTCTACTATGCATGTTGACTTGTTTCATCCAACATAATCCTGGGAGAACAAGGTTCAAGTCTCATTGGGTGACTCTGAGCCGGTCACTCACTTTCACACGGCCCTACCTCCCAGGTCTGTTGGGGTGATCCAAAGGACCATGTTCACTACTTTGGGTCACTTAACTGCCCTACCTCCCAGGTCTGTCGGGGTGATCCAATGGGAAGAAGGACCATGTTCACTACTTTGGGTCACTTGGCTCAAAATTGGTTTATAAATGTAACTAACAGGTATATCAATTGATCTCATTGAACAAAACATCACTCCCATTGCGCGGGAGATGAAGGTTAGGCTAAACCCTTTCTCCCAATTCCCTGCCATGCAGCACTCCTGCACCTGCACTCTGAAAAGTACAGTCCAGAAGAGTGTGCCCCACATAACTCCTATATCTGGAAATTTCAGCTCATCCGTCTTCAGCAGCACTGGGAAACCATCAGCAGCTTCTGTCTGGTATAAGGAGCCTGACACAAGAAATCAGTCCACAGAGCATAAGCAAAACGTGCCTCAGCATCTCAAAAGCAAGACGAAGATGATGTTTTCTCACCTGCTTGGTTCGGCTCCTCGACTCAACTGACAGATTGTTGAAGGTGTAGTGAGCTTGTGTGATGCCACAAAATAGAACAGATACCACACCTGCCAATAAAAACAGGACATCAGGTAGCACGAAGGGAATCTTTCCTGGTTTCATTGTTTGTTTATTTTTAATTCTTGAAGTGTCCTGTACTGGTGCAGGCTTACAACCTTGCCTTGCGTTTTAGCCGTTTCTGTTGTGCTTACTCAGAGTTCTAATGAGAAGTTGTGGGAACTAATCCTGCCTCAAAGATTTATCACCTCTGATAGAAATCCAGTTCTATAATTTCATGTGTCCAGAAGCTGTTGCAACCCTGAGACAAGGACAGGAGTTCTGCATACCGTATGTTTCCATGTATACGAGCCCCCAATGTATAAGACGCCCTCCCTAATTTTGACCCTCACCGAAGGTGGAGGAGCATTTAAGGGGCAACTGCTCCTCCACCTCTGTCTCCTGCTGCTGCCGCTTCCGCCGCCCTATCACCTCCTCCATTGCAACTGCTGGGGCTCACCTCTAGCTCACGTTGTCGCTGCCTTGTCCCCTGCCCGAAGGGAGCGCAGGAGGAAGTGGTGTGGTGGCAGCAGTCAATGGGCAGCATCAAGAGGCGCCCCAGCATGCGCGAGTGCTCCTTTGCCCCGTCTCCATCTCCTGCTGTTGCCTCTGCCACTGGAGGGGACAAGGCAGCGACGTGAGCTGGAGGTGAGCCCCGGCAGTTGCACTGGAGGAGGCAATGGGCAGCGGCAGCAAGAGGCGCCTGAGCGCACGCAAGTGCTCTTTTGCCTCTGCCTCCTTCCATGTATAAAATGACCCTCAATTTTTCCCCTAATTATTTTAGAAAAAAGTGTTGTTTTATACACAGAAAAATACGGTATTTTCCAAAATATTATATTATGCTATGTTAGGGCTCACATACTGTAGATGTACATTCCATTCAGTCCTACTGTTGTGCAATGATTTCAGACTTGAGCCCTCACACATATTAAGCCCCAATCATTTAAACTGTTTTCAAGAGTTAAAAAAAAATTACAATGGGCACACTCATAACTTTGGAAATCAACGTGAAACTGTTTGGGCATGCAAGCATTCTATGTAGAATCCAACAGCACTGGGCAAGAGAGCAACTGAACTGTAAGACTCAGTGACTCAACTACATTTGAATGCTAGCCTTCAGTCGTATAACACTTTTGTCCACAGTTCGATGCCACTCAACCATATTGCTCCAATACAAAGTAGGATCTTTCTTTTCCCACTGGGTTAAGGAGACATAAACAGCCTCTCGGGATTATAAGAGGTATGGAGCATAAATGAGAGCTAGTGTGCTGTAGTGAATAGAGTGACTAAGACTCAGGAGACCTGGGTTCAAGTGCCCACTTAGTTATGGAAGCTCATGGGGGTAGAGAGGCAGCAATGATAGAATCACCTGCATCTCTCACATAGTGTGAAAACTCTATTAGAGTCAACATAAATTGGATGTGACCTACTGGCATAATGCAAGGCATACACTGTTCTTTCAGTACTTATGCATATGCACACTACCTAGGGTTTCCTTTACATAGATGATGACTGAATCACTATAATATGAGAAGAAAACCTACAGCTAAGATCCAAAGAACCACACTACTGTTTCTTACAGCACAGTGCTGATTCTTGAACAACTAACCATCAACTCTCCTCTACACTGTGCAGAGACCCTTTTTTGAATGGAGAAGACTTTCAACAGTGGGCAGTGAATTGTGCAATTAGGGTTTGCTACAAAGAGACAACATTCCTGGTAGGCGTATCCAATTAAAGACACTCTAGCCTCCTAATTGTCAACCTGTTGCTCTCTGCAAAAATAATCAGAAAAGCAAGTTCCTTTGTTGGACTCATCTGTCTTGACTGTGAAATACATGAAAGCAAATCCAGAACAAACAAGATATAGAACAGTTCAGTTCAGCAAAATTCACATCTTCAGCATGTCACACAACTCCAATATTCATGACCCAAATTGCCCAGCGTTAAGCTTATGGCTTGCTTTAGTTCTGATTTATGCATACCCAAGGAACTAATCCAGATGGCAGATTCATGCTGTAAATCTTTACAGGAATTTGTGACTGAAAATAAATAATTCCTGGAGAAATTCTTTCAGACATAGCCACAATTTTCACCTTACAAGATCAACAGCTGAAAAGCTTTGATAGTAACAGTCATCTCTGTGTCCACTCAAAATTGCTTGGCCCTGGTGCTAGACCTGCTGATTTACTAAAAGCATCTTACCTGTAAAACCACAGGCTTCAGCCAACAAGAATGTACTCCAAGACATCAGGAAAAAGAGGGCTGTCTCCAGCAAAGGAAAGCAGTGCAGTTTGGTAAACTTTGTTACGTAAGCATTCTTATTAAGGAATAACAAAAGCCATTGTGCATTTTTTGCCTATACTGTTGGAAAGTAGTGAATTCAGTAAGAGAGAGTGAAACAAGAGATAAGGAAGCAGACCATAGTGGCTCAGGAATCTCTCTTTATGAGCCTCGCCTTTATCCTAATATCTTATTTCCAGCTTGCCTGCCTATGCATTAGCCTATTCCAACTTCCTTTTGGAAATCACCCACAACAGACCCTCTAAGGATATGGCTATGCCTTCACAGTTGGTGGCCAGATATCAATTTTCTAGGATCTACTTTGGTTTTTTTCTTTTGTTTATTTTAGTAGAATTTTAAGAGCCACCAAACTAACCCAAACCACACATACGCTTATAATCAAGGAATCCAGGGATCTTTTCTGAGTAAAAAATTTCAAAAGAGGCTACAGTAATTCTATACAAAACCCCACTTCTGATTACCCCTGTCCCAACCAGCTTTCTTGATTCCCACAATGTGTTAGGTGAGGAGTATTTTTGCTGCAGTTCTGCCTAAATTCTTTGGACCCCACAAATCCTTGCATATCTACTGCAAGTCACGAAAGAGATCTACCAGAAGATCCAGATCTATCTTCTGCCCACCCACAGTTCCACAAAAAGGATTCCAGAGGAAGCAGGGAGGCCAATCAGTAGCTGGTTTGCAATGGCAAAGAGTTTGAAGTCATTTTGCAGAAAAAGGATATCAAAGCGGTCACAATCCCTGTCACCACTCCCATCATGAAAGACCCACTGAAGATTCCAAGGAAGATGCCAATAGATTTAAAAAAGGCTGCAGCATCAAAAGCGTGGATGTTTCCTCCTGTGGGCTGATATGCTACAATAGAACTGTAACAGAAGGAAATACAGTAGTAGTGAGCTAAATATTTATTCCCAATAGTTCTTCCAATAAACATCTTAGGAGCAGAGATTGAAAAAGTTAGTTTTTGGATTCTAACTACTGGACTCCACTGCTTAGGGGCATTTTAATTTTTAAAAAATAGTACAGTATTTCTAAGCAATGCTTAGAAGTTTGGTATTTCTCATGGGGCCACCTGCTCTGAGACGTCTCCACACCAATGTGAAAATGTCAAAATGAAAACAGCTTCTGGATCTGGATCACAAAAAGATCACAAGAAAATGGTCCGTTTAGGCCATGACATGTATTACAGTGGACCCTTGACTTACAGACAGCTTGACTTACAGACTTTTTGAGTTATAGACTTCTCTGGCCGCAAAATTTAGGTTTGACTTGCAGCCTGAGAATTGACTTACAGACCGGAAAAAAACCAAAATGGAACAAAAATGGCCTGTTACGGGATTAATCAGTTTTCAATGCACTGTAGGTCAATGGAGACTTGACCTACAGACTTTTTGACTTGAGAACCGCCTTCCAATACAGATTAAGTTCTCAAGTCAAGACCCCACTGTATATGGAAACATGTTGTCAAAATTGAAGTGGGGAAAAACAAAAGAGAAAATACTGTGTCACTTTAAAAAATTGATTCATTTTTTATTATAGAGTCTTAGTCTTTAAAGTATCACAATCTCCCATCCATCTGTCCTTCCTTCCTTACTTAATTTTGCCAATATGCTGAGGCAGATTAGCACAGCTAATTCTTTGGAAACAGCTGTATGGAAAACACATAAGCTTTCTACTTACGAAGATAGTACAATTGCAACAGCATCATTTAGAACACTCTCTCCAAACAGCAGTGCGTAAAGATCAACATCAGCATGAAGCTCATTAAAGATCGCCAGTACAGTGACTAATGGAAAGGGGAAAAAAGAGTAAATGTCTTAACACTAGATTTGCTACAAAGGATTCTGAGTACAGACAAATCTGTTGTTTAGATTTTCCTATACATTTAAGTCCATAAACCATAACACAGGGATCAAGTTTCAATGGGTGCCAAAAAATTAGAGCAAAACCCACTGGTATACTTTTTCCACTCCATACTCAAATTGTGTCTGTTTGTCGGGAAGCTAAAAAACAAAAGAAGAGATACTCTCATTGGGAACAACTAAGGCATTGTGAACAAGCTTTTAAGTACTCGAGAAACATTTGGACATTTATGGACATTCTTGCGTTTTTATTCGCTTTTCCTCCTGCCAGCTCAAGGCAGTATACATGACTCTTGTCCCTCTGATTCTGCCATGGTACCCAAGATTACTCACTGAGAATTTGAACCGAGGTCAACTGAGTCATAATTCAAAACTCTAATGACTTCTCCACACTAGAGAAATATTATTACAGATGCAAACAGAGCAAAAGGTTCAAAAGAAATTTGTATTAAGGTTGCTGTAAAATTTATTTAAGTGGACAATGGATGTAGAAATGCATTTTAAAAGCTGGTTTTGTACCTGGATCAGTAGCAGATATAATGGCTCCAAAGAAAAGACAATCTGTGTAATAGAATTTATCAGAGAGTTGTCCCACCAACTTCATGAGTTTTACTACACCATACATAAGATTCCTGTTGATTTAAGAATAAAGGATGCTGTGAAACAACATTTCTGAACTTCTTGACACCAGTTGACTGTGAACTTTGTCTATTACCCTTTTTAGTTAAAAAAAAACTGGACAGTGTACATTTCTCTTTCAAGTAACTCTGCTGTTGACAGCTATATAACCTACAGTATTGATAGTCATGTGGAGGGAAAACCATGCAGCCAACGGGTGCTCATTCCCAAATGAGTGGACTTAAAATTACCAACATAATCCTTCTTCCAATACAGTATTTGGACATTTGCCTAAGAGAAATCAGAGGGCGGAAGAAAGAGCAGGGTACACCCAAAGCTCTGAAGTTCTCTGGAACATGGGGAACAAAGAAAAGACTTCATTTCACTCTCAGGCATTGCACGTATACAAAACTGGGAAGGCACACAGATATATGCATCATGTTCACTGCAGCATGTCTCCCATCTTCCTTCAGCAAACATGATGAGCTCCAGTTCTTGTTCAAGCTGGGAACCATTCCTGAAGTCACACCAAGTTCTGGAATTCCCTCAAGTTCATAACAAACACTGCCTGACTGTGGGAACAACCCTTCTTTCCAAGCTTGACATGTATATGCTGAGCTGCACTTTGGAAAGTGCCCAAACCAACTCAAAAGCAGTATAACATGCATAAATTAAAATCCGATTTTGATTTAACAGCTGGTGAGAAGGCTCTGCAGCTCAGTGTGGTACCAGAAACAAGACCACCGGTACCTTGGGTACATCTATTGGGCTTCTGACACACATTTTGGCCACCTGCTAAGAATAAACAAAGGCATGAACCCCTGCTGTGAGTTAAGGACTAGGCATGGGGTTTTCATAGGTCTTGGACATCAGCACCCAGGATTCACCAGGAATTCTGGCCAGCAAATCACAATCCTCACATGAATTTTCTATTAAACATGTACGTGAAATGAAAGCTCCATCAACCATTTGTTTTTGAAGAAGAAAAAGCAATGGGTGGGAGTAGGTAAGCTCCATGGGAGCTGCAAGGGATCAGGGGACTAGCAGTGTCTCTGCCTATTAAGCTCTGTAGAGCAGGGGTCCCCAGTCCCCAGACTGGTACTAGTCCATGGCCTTGGAAGGACTGGGTGGCCAGTACAGATGAGCAGCGAGCAGGAGGTGAGTGGCAAGTGAAGCTCCGTCTCCTGTCAGTGTGCTCCTATTAGGTTCTAATGCCACTGCTGATCTGACAGGAGCCAGAGCTTCGCTCCCCTCCTGCTGCTACTAGATCAGCTATGCTTGTGGCATTAGAATCAAATAGGAGCCTGCACTCCTATTAGGTTCTAAGCTGCTGCTGATCTACGGGAACAGGAGGCATAGCTTCAATTGCAGCTCACTTCCTGCTCACCACTTCCTTTATGAGCTTGATTCAAAGCTATCCACCAACAACCTACTGCATAACAAGTTATACCCCCCAGCCTGTCCTTGGGAGAATGGTCAACTAAACCAGTCCCTGGTGTCAAAAAGGTTGGTGACCATTGCTATAGAGGATGCTTCTTTTTTTAAAAAAAACTAGTAGCCCCCTAATACTTTGCAGCTCCATGGAGTTTAGCTACTCCTATCTATTTCCTCTGCCTTCTTCACAGGAACAAAATGGCTGACAAAGCCTTCATTTTCTGCCTGTTAATAACTGAAAACCCCTGTGAGGACTTTGCTTTCCTGCTTTAAACCCTAGAATTCCGGCTCGGGGCACCTCTGGAGAATTCTGGGGGGTTAAATTTATCTCATACCCATTAAAGCCAGTTACAAACCAATATATATATTTTAGGTAGAGGAAACTGCTCATAGATATGTGAATTTAAAGCAGAAGTCTGGAAATAAGATCTCAGTTCACCTGATACTGAAACAGAGGTGGTGCCCAATAAAGCTTAGAAAAAAACAGAATGGATATGCTACAATTCCCTTTCATAGCTTGTTCCAAAACTAAAAAGATAAAATGTGCCATCTATCTTTTAGTTTTTTCCTAGGAAAAAATTGGTTCCATAGAATGAAAATACTTCCTGAAAGGTAGTCAAGTTGTCATATTTTTGAATGCATGTGAAAAAAGCAAGAACTCAAGGGAACATTAAAAATGAAACTCAGCTTCTGGACTCTTCTCTGTGTACTTAATCTCTTAAGCAGAGATCAAATGACAAACCGACAGTTTACAACTTCCACTTCCCTCCTGTAACTTCAAAGAAGGGTTGAGCAGACACTTCTGTGCTCATCTTCTTTCAAGAAGACCCTAACACCTTATGCTGCAACCCCTACCCTGAGGAGAGTCCATTTGCTTCCTTTCCCAGAAATGCAATGCATTAGGCAATACCTTCATTAGACTACTAAAAACCCATACAATCTGCTAGCTTTCATGGATCAAAGCCTATTTCTTCAGGCATGCACCAGTGTCTTGTTGATAGTGCAGAGAATTTGCCTACTCCTGCAATGTATTCTATAAGGACTATATGGCTGTCTTCAATTTTTTCCCCAGAGGTGTATGTCTTTTGTCTTGTAGAATGATCAAAGCAGATCAAGGGCTATTAAGAGACTGCAGGCCGCAAATGGTTCATACAAGTGCTTAAAAGGGACTTGGGGAATACAATGTTTTGTCTCAATCACAGCGTCAGCCTTTCAGGGGGGAAAAACTGGTCTATGAGGGGTACAATGTTTCTTCCCGTATTCAGAGATCCCACCTGACTCTTGAGGAGGACTGTGAAAATGTGCCAGGTTTAGCCTCATGGAGGGGAACTCACAGCAACTCCATCTCTCTGCTTAGGTATGAGCCAGATAGGGTAAATACGATTTTATTCTTTTTAGTGAGTTCCTGCTGGAATGCTATACTCACACTTCCTCCTTATTTTTGAGTAACCTTTTCTTGTAACTGTGTGAAACCTGGATTCTTTTTAATTTTCTCTTTTCCCCTTTTCTTCTTATAAAATTCAAAAATCCTTTCAAGCAATTGTCTGGATAATAAATGAGAGGGAAATGTGATACAAAAATCCAGTCCTAGTGTCAACCACTACAGATGCCATATTACTACTGAGGTGTAATATGGCATTTGTATGCAAACCAACTTAATTTCACTGAACTCAGCAGACCAGAAGAAACACAGTGACTCCAGTGATTCAACTCTTGCAAATCACTTAAGCCATTTCCCCCCAAAGAAGACAAATGATGCAATCATTTATCACTTCAGATTGAGAAACAATCCAAGCGCTACCCAAAGGAGTGGCAAAACTCAACTCACCCAATGATGAAACACGAAACTGCAGTTCCCAGGAAAGCATATGTCAATATAGACCCCAAATTCCTGAAGAAATGCCTCTACAGAAGAAAAATAAATTAAGCACAAGCAGATAAGAGGTGTTCTTAAGAATTTCTTCCAAAACAGAATTCTGCCATACAGTTATGTCACCTTCTGCTTACCTGGACTGTTTTAGCCTTGCTATACAATCTTTCTGAAGTATTGGGGAAAGAAATGCCAATCACATCTGAATCCTCTTTTCTTATCAACGTACCCAGATATCTTTTGATTTGTATTCCTGCACTGAGCTGGGGGTTGGACATGATGGACTTAGAGGCCCCTTCCAACTTCATTATTCTATGGTTTGCTTCGGATATGGTGCACATAAAATCAAGGATTCTCTCCATTCAGCGCTATTAGTCATTGCAGAATCATCCCAAGACTGGGAAATATACTCGTTATGTCCACCTGCACAGGTGGAGATAACGATGATTGCGCCCCATGGGGCCGGACGGTCCACTCACCAATGTGCTAATGCTGTGGGGTCTGCCCTGCCATCCTATCGCTCTGGAGATTGTGATTGCTTAGCCACTCCTGGCAGGAGGAAGAATGACGAGTCTCTCTGCCAGGTCGAAGAGTGGCTCGTCAATTGTGATGTGTGTGGGGTATTCGTATTTGTATATGAATACCCCCATCTCTACTCATATGTTCACAGCAAAAGGGAAGCACAAGTTCAAAAGGGAAATTCAAGAGTTAGATCCAGCTGGCTCTGCAAGTACCGCAGAGTGATCCTAGCTTTGATTCCTGCTTACCTCCCTTCGGGTAAGGAAGCTGAGGAGAGGGAAGCAATAGTCATGTTCTTGGCTGCTGCAGTAGCAGCAGAAAGTTTCATTCAGCACTTCTCTTGGAAACCAGAGATATCAGCTTTTAAGACCCAAGAGGGAACACAGTTTACTCAAAGATCAGGTTGTATCGCCTTACATTTTGAATGCAACAACACATTCTTATGAAGAAAAACCCTTTATTCCAGGCCCTGAAATAAATTTATCCTCAAAAACGGAAGGCCTGACCCTGTAATAGGCAGGCCTGTATTCATTAGGCAAGTATGACACAATGGCACATATGTCTGCACCAGTGTCTTCGACCTGCATAAGGATCCCACTGGATCAAATCCATTACCCAGCTATAAAGTTTTCAGTGTTTTAGCTGTGGCTAGGATGGGGGGACGTGGTGGCGCTGTGGGCTAAACCGCAGAAGCCTGTGCTGCAGGGTCAGAAGACCAAACAGTTGTAAGATCGAATCCACACGACGGAGTGAGCTCCCGTCGCTTGTCCCAGCTCCTGCCAACCTAGTGGTTCGAAAGCATGCAAATGCAAGTAGATAAATAGGGACCACTTCGGTGGGAAGGTAACAGCGTTCCGTGTCTAAGTCGCACTGGCCATGTGACCACGGAAGATTGTCTTCGGACAAAACGCTGGCTCTATGGCTTGGAAATGGGGGTGAGCACCGCCCCCTAGAGTCGAACACGACTGGACAAAAATTGTCAAGGGGAACCTTTACCTTTGGATGGGGGGGGGATATCAACTATAATCATATTGAAATGCATTAAAACAGTATACTAACAGCAGCGTTTGTGGAAAAACAGAGCCATTGCAATATAACACCAAAATAGCCTGCTGGCATAAAGCCTTTACTGCAATATAGTATATTAAATTGGAAGCAGAAGAAAGAAACAGGTAACTCTTAAGCAAAATATGTTTGTGTTCAAGAGGGCAGCAGTAAAATGTAGCAATCAACAACTTCACATTACACAAACAAGAAGGAAATTCATATACAGGGAGGGGGGCAGAGCAGAAAAGCTTTCAAGGCTTACCTTCTTCAAGCTATAGCCAGCATGAAAAATAATGGGAGGCAGAAGGATGTTGAAAAATACTTCTGGGTCAAAGGTTACCTTAAAATAGAGAGAGAGGGAGAGAAATATGTGCACATTGTTATAAAATATTTCCACGTGACTATTTTGAACACCTGTGCAATCTACATCCAGATTTCCCGTATTAGTCTCTTCCAAATTACATCAACTTAAAAAAAAGTGAATAGAGAACAATGGAATATAAAAAAGGAAGGCTTAATTGCAATGGATTCTGAAAGTGCTTAGTCCAAAATCTAAACTCCGTACAGTATTAGGATGAAATCCTTCTTAAGCCATTCTGCCCCCACGAAAAAAGGAACGAAACTGTGAGAAAGCATGCTGGGTAGAGATCAGGCACCGAGGAAGCAAACATCTGGCTTCTCCACAAAGAGCTGTGAGCTTCAAATGGAGTTTGACTTTGCAGCTGGAAGACCAAAGTTCTTCCAGCTGTCTTGGCTTCTTTGTTCCCAAGCCAAGACAGATAATATTTCCTCCTGTAGTCCAACAATGCATCACCTGAGAGTCCTACCCGAATGTCTGCTGTTTCTCTCCCTGCTCTATCACAGCTGGGACAGAAGAGAGAGATAACGCCTGTTCTTGTAAAAAATTTTGTCTCTCTTCCTCCTCTTAACCCACTCAATCCCCCCTCCCCCAGCCTTTTGCAAGACTCTGATGAATAGCATCTTGTGACCCTGAAAACTCACACAAAATGTTCTGCCTTTTTTAATTTGGGTGAGGGGCAACCTACTCAAGGTATCTCTCTAATAAGGAGTTTCAACTCTGGATTTTGTTCAACGGTCAACACAGCTGCCTCTGTATTTCAAATGTGCTTCCCCCACCCAACCGACCACATTTCAAGAGTACCCCAATGCCCAGGGTTGATTCAGACAACCACCTGTTTCCAAAATAAGCCATTTCCTCTCCTACAGCCAAGATTACAGTGGTCTGCATTTTACAGACAGTCAATCTGCAAAGGTGCACGAGATGGCAAATAAGGTAGGTGTCCTTGGGCAAGTCACCTTCTGCATCTGCCACCCAACTTGCAAGATGAGACCATCAGCAACCTACATCACACTGATATTGTGAAGAAGAATGAAAAATAGCTGATGTAATAGCAAATGTTGATTAAGGCACTGTAGTCAGGACAAGGTGCTACGCATGGGGTGCATGACAGAATTAACTCAAACTTCAGCCTCTGGTTTTAGAGAGCTCTCTATCAAATTACAGGGAGCAGTAAGCATCAATTGTAGCATGTTAACAACAACAGAAGATTGAAGGGAGGGGTTTCATACCACATCTGAACAACATTACAAGTTATGGCCTGCTGTCCTGGAACAGCCAATGTTCAGCTTTGAAACACAATATGGAAACAGGACAACACAAAACAAATGTTTTCAGTAACCAGAATTGGCAAAATGCGGCCCTTACTTTTCGCAGCATATCATTCTGTTCCACGTTGTAGATTTTTCCAGGGCTTATTTCTCCCTTTAAAGTATATTCAAAAAACTTCCCACTGATGTTGACCAACAGAGTTGTATATGCCCGGTCCTCTTGAGAGCAACTGAATGGTTTGTCATGGCCGCTGGTCGGAGGTATGCCATATCTCAAGATCACACCAACAATCAGTCCTGAAACACAGATGTGGAGTCACAACTTACATTTATTTCCAGATTTTCCATATCTCCCCCTCACCCAAAATGATGCCCCCACCATGGTTTATTTGACATTTTCTATGAAGCTTCAATAATTTGTACCACACACAAACAGGCAACTGGGTAGGAAAAAATTCTCCTTCTTAAGGGATGATTATACTGCAGAGCCTGGAAGTTACATTTATACCCTACAATTCTCAGAATCCCTCAGCCAGCATTTTATGTCAAATTGAGGGACAGAACTTTCAGATTTTCAAGACTTCCTCCTATACTTCACTCAGAAATTTCTCCCCCATGACAGAATTATGAGAGTTAAAATCCAGAAGCAGAAGAGGTTAGGACAGACCTCCATGCTCTTCTTGCATTGATTCTTCTTCAAACAACAATAAAAATGCTCCACTGCACTTCAGGAGTCCCAAAGGGTCCAGGTAGCTGGCTCAAGGTTGACACAGGCTTCTATCCTTCTGAGGTTGATGAAATGAGTACCAAGCTCACTGGGGGCAAAGTTTTGTTTGTATAATTATTGTGTAAACTGCCCAGAGAGTGCTTTAGCACCACAGGGTGGTATATAACAACAACAACAACAACAACAACAACAACAACAACAACAACAACAAAACACAGCAAGGATCTCTACAACTTATGAAGATGAATGAGTGGGTGAGTCCTGACACCCATTAGACCATACAATGCAACTACCTATCTCATGCAACTTTGCAAGTTGTAGAGAGCCTTGGGACTCCCACAGTGCAACGGCACACTTTTCTTGCTGTTCAAAGAAGAAGCGGCACTGGAAAAGCATGGAGGCAGGGATGGCTAGTCTAACCTCTTCTGGTTTGGGGGCTTTCACTCCCATAATTCTGCCTGGGGTGTGTGTGTTCTAGGCAAATTCTGGGGTGCTAAAATGCTGAAAAAGCATACCCTACCCAGACTCATCAGTGTTATGTGTCTCCAAGTTGCATCTAACTTATAGCGATGCTACTGGGGTTTTTAAGGTAAATGAGATATTTAAGGAGCAGTTTTGCCAGTGCCACTGTCCCAATGAGTTTCCATGGTTGAGCAGGAATTTGAACTCAGATCTCCTGAGTCCTAGTTGGTCACTCAATACACTACACTACATTGGGTACTTTGCCAATTATTATTTATACTGAATATAGGTGTATTTCAAACTTGAGTGAGCTACTTTGTTTATTAGCAATCGTGGAGGCCCATCAACTACAATGAAGTACAGAATGGAGGCCTAAAATGGTGGCTCTGACGTTACAGCTAATTACTGTAATTACCCGGGGTTCCCTGTGGGCATTTGCATCCCCTCCTCATACAAGTACAAATCTATATCTACGTTATCATAGATCAGGGATTCTAACAGCTTAGTTACAGTGGTACGTCGCTAGACAACAACCTCGCAAAACGACGAATCCACATGACGACAAGGTTTTGCAATCGCTATAGCAATTCGCAAAACAGTGATTCCAATGGGCGATTTTCACTTGATGATGATTTGGTCCATGCTTCGCGGACCATTTTTTCGCAAGACGATGATTTTTACAGCTGATCGTCGGCTTCACAAAATGGTTTCCCTATGTTTTCGGGACAGGTGCTTCACAGGACAGCCATTTTTACAGCTGATTGGCGCTTCGCAAAATGGCTGCCCTATGGGCGATCTTTGCAAAACGATGACGATTTTTCCCCATTGGAACACACTAAACGGGTTTCAATGCATTCCAATGGGGAAACGGTTTTCGCAAGACAATGATTTCGCTAAACAGCAATGTTCACAGAACGAATTCTCGTTGTCATGTGGGGCACCACTGTAGTTGAGATGGACTATGTTTGCTATTCTTAAACAACAAAAACAAAGAGACTTTTCTGCTTTACTGCATATCATCCAGCAACCTACTAGTAAACCTGATCAACCTTCTCTCCCACAAACAATTTATACTGACTCAAAGTAACTGTCCCAAGATCACTGGCGGTTCCCTTTTCCAGAAGTGCTCTCAGAAATTTTAGGGATCAGGTTCTGCGGCCTTGTTCGCACAAAGCATATATCACACCACTCCACTCTGTTTCATCCTTTAACACAGTGGTCTCCAACCTTGGGCCTCCAGATGTTCTTGGACTTCAACTCCCAGAAATCCTGGCCAGCAGAGGTGGTGGTGAAGGCTTCTGGGAGTTTAAGTCCAAGAACATCTGGAGGCCCAAGGTTGGGGACCACTGCTTTAACATATACAGCATGACATTATTGTAAAGGTCTTGCACTGCACACAAGTTGTCTTATACTTACTAATTTATACAGAATTATTTTCTCCCTCTGATACACACTCATCCACACTCAGAACTGTTAGATTAATTTTTAAATATTTCCAACTAGTTACATGGTGAGCCCTCATGTCTCCCATCTAGACTACAGATCAGCTCCACACCCTAAGGAATGGCAATTAACAATTCATGAAACATTGTAAAATGGTGTAAAATACAACATCAATTTACTTGTCAGGTAACTATTTTTACTGGGATACTACCAGGGGTAACTATATCTTACCAAAAATAATCACTAGATAAGAAAAGTGGACACCACACAAGTTTTATTTTATAGGGAAAAAAGGATCTCAGGTTTATTTCACTAACAGGAACATTAAGAAAAAGCAGTTATGAGGTGGAAATGTTATGGTCCTAAGGGAAAACAGAAATAGTAATGGAGCACAAGCATAAATAAAAGGAAGGGAAAAAAAACAAAAAGGAAGAACAGCGGCAGGAAAAACAGAGGAGAGAAATCACAGCATCACAGACAGAATGATGTTGGTCTCTCAGTTCTTATTCTAGGCTAATGAAAAATTGCCCTACTGTCTGTATTCTGGCTTAAGCAAAGAATGGCATGCTGACCTCCATCTAGACCACAGTAAGTAAGTAGCACCACATTACAAAAGATGGAGTCAATTCACCCTGTTGTATTCCATTATTCTTTAATCTCAATCACCCTGGACTCAACATGGTACAGTCCCAAAATTATTTCAGTTAGGTTCTAAAGATAAAATGCAAGACAAAGTCAGACTCAATAACTGACCTGTTTCCCCCCCCCAAGGGTAAAGCCTTGTTGGTCTTGCGGCACCTGAAAGATTAGCAAGCACTGGACAAGATAGGCTACAGTCCAGAAAAATGTAAGGAGAATAAAATTTGTCAGACTTTAAGGTGTCACAAGACACCTTGTAGCTGTACCTTTGTGTGCTTTCCTGACTTGATCAACAGATTCATGTTTTGATAAGAAATCTCTACCCAAGTACAGTGGGACCTCGACTTACGAACGTCCCTACCTGAGAACATTTCGACTTATGAACGGCTCCGTTCTCAAAAATTTTTTATCGACTTGCAAATGGAGCCTCAACCTACGAACGAGAAAAAGGCAGGG